TTAAGGGTCCGACATGAAGTATAAAGTCAAGTCATAGTTTTTGTAAATAATAAGATTTATGAATAAAGCCGTCAGATTTTGAAACAATTGATTTGGAATGACGCCGCTGGCTTTACGTATAAAGTGTGGTTAAAGTCTTTTATTTAGAAATTTAAAGGTGGGAGCGATGGAACACTTTCTGTTTGAATCAGAATAAACAGATTGGATTTTTTTTTTTTTCTTTGCCTGAATTCACAACGAGGAGAAAAAGAACCAAAACTCAAGAAACTGTATTTGTTTGTTTTTAATGATTGAAGTGGAAATCCTCCCCTGATACCCCCCTATGGAGTCTAGACCTTGGTAGAGGTGGTGGTGGTGATACCCCCTGGTAGAGGTGGTGGTGGTGGTGATAGCCCCCTATGGAGTCTAGACCCTGGTGGTGGTGGTGGTGGTGATACCCCCCTATGGAGTCTAGACCCTGGTAAAGGTGGTGGTGGTGGTGATAGCCCCCTATGGAGTCTAGACCCTGGTAGTGGTGGTGGTGGTGATACCCCCCTATGGAGTCTAGACCCTGGTGGTGGTGGTGGTGGTGATACCCCCCTATGGAGTCTAGACCCTGGTAAAGGTGGTGGTGGTGGTGATAGCCCCCTATGGAGTCTAGACCCTGGTAGTGGTGGTGGTGGTGATAGCCCCCTATTGAGTCTAGACCTGGTAGTGGTGGTGGTGGTGATACCCCCTATGGAGTCTAGACCCTGGTGGTGGTGGTGGTGGTGATACCCCCCTATGGAGTCTAGACCCTGGTAAAGGTGGTGGTGGTGGTGATAGCCCCCTATGGAGTCTAGACCCTGGTAGTGGTGGTGGTGGTGATACCCCCCTATGGAGTCTAGACCCTGGTAAAGGTGGTGGTGGTGGTGATAGCCCCCTATTGAGTCTAGACCCTGGTAGTGGTGGTGGTGGTGGTGATACCCCCCTATGGAGTCTAGACCCTGGTAGAGGTGGTGGTGGTGGTGGTGATACCCCCCTATTGAGTCTAGACCCTGGTAGTGGTGGTGGTGGTGGTGATACCCCCCTATGGAGTCTAGACCCTGGTAGAGGTGGTGGTGGTGGTGATACCCCCCTATGGAGGTCTGCATATGTTCATGTTTTATTTTGTTTTTTGTCTCGTTTGGTTACTTCTTGTATTTTTTTACTTTAACTTTGAAAATGCTCAAAAAAAAAAAAAAAAAAAGCTTCTTTTGGAATAAAAAGTGGAGCGCGGGCCGAGTTGAAAATAAATCTATTTTATTGTCAATGCATTCAACATGATTAGATAAACTATCGAGTAGTAAAGAAACACTGAAACTATTCCCCACTGACACAAAATATGACACTTTGTATTTCAAACCATTATTTACAGCGTATAGACGGCTTCTTAAATCCATAGTATTTCATATCACATGCACTCTGAAATATAGTCTGACATAAAATCCAGAAAAAGTGAGTCCTCGTTCATCGTCCACATGAAGAAAGAAACGTCGGCAGGAAACCACGAGGCTGCGACTACGTCTTTGATTGCTCTCTATATTTGTCTTTATAGGATATAAAATACGACTTACTGTACATTTACACATCTTTAAATCCTCCTCAAACTTTGAAGTGCGTCATAAATAGATTAATTTTAAAGTCAAAACGTGTTTTCATCACGACGTCTGTACAGCCAACAAAGAGTCCAAAGTGAAAACAAGTGCAAAGGGGGTTTAAGTGTTTTTGTTTTGAAGTGTCTTATCTCCGATCACAGCCGCTTAAATCCAGGCAGGCTCACATCCCTCCGCGTTAAAAAATAGTCCCTCCCCTCCCGGAGTCTCTGGCAGTCAGTTGTGGGAGGTCATGTGACGGGACAGGTGATGCCGCTCCCGGAAAGACTCGTTACAAATGGGGCACTTGAGTTTCTCCTCGCGCCGCCGTTTGACCAGCGGCTCCATGGCGAACTCCTTTTTGTGGTGCGAGCGCATGTGGTAAACCAAGTCCGAGGTCATGCGGAACGAGGCGTTGCACTTGGCGCACCAGTTCTGCGCCGGCAGGCAGAGCGAGGTGAAGGAGGGGGGCAGGAGGGTGAGCGCCGACGGCATCTGGAGCTGGATCGGCCCCGTGTTCTTGGGCCAGAAGGCCGTGGCGTAGACGAACGGGTTCTGCTTGGCCATGCCGCCCGGCACGGGGCAGTTGGCGCCCAGCTCCGCGCTCTGCAGCTTGGCGGCGAGGTGGTCGGCCTGGTACAGTCTGCTGGACGAGATGGTGTCACCTACCGCCGGGTGGCAGTCCAGCAGCTTGGGCGGCATCACCAGCGGCGAGATCTGAGAGAAGGAGGAGCGAGACGGCTGGCTGAAGGCGCTCTTCCTTTCTCCTCCGCCACCCTGCTGGCTGACGGAGGTGAAGGCGCTGCCCATGGGCGGGGTTTGGGGGGGTTGGGTCTCTGACAGCACCTGCCGGATGTTCAGGTGCTTCTCGGACGGGTTACTGCTCGGGCGGCCGCCATCTTTGTTTTCAGAGTTGGAGCCCTGCAGGTTCTTGTTGCCGCTGTGATGTTTGAGGTTCTGAGCCGTCTTCTTGACCTCGGTGAAGGCGCTGCGTTTGCCCTCGCCGGGCTTGGCGGAGCGCGGCGGCGAGAAGGAGCGGTGGTTCTCCTCCAGCCCGTACGCTCCCCGGTAGTTCTGCGCCGACGTGGCGAGCTCGTCTTTGGATTTGGACGTGGGAAGGCTTGGCCGCTCCTCCACCTCGGAGAACTTCCTCTTCCCTGAGCTCTCGCTGCAGATCTCCGCCTCCTTGTCGCTGGGCGGGCTCGTCCTGTTGTTCTCCAGATCCCGCGCCAGGTTGTGAAAGTCCATGGAGGGTTTGTTGGTGTCCTGGGGGCCGCCGAAGCCCTCGGAGCGGCCCAGCTTCGGGCTGCTCGTGGTCGGCGTGGTGTTCGGTCGCTCGGGGCTGCTCTCTTTGGTCGCCTCCTCGTCGCCTCCCGTGATGCTCTGCAGTCTCTTGGTGCAGCGGAACCGCAGGTGGGCCAAGAACGGGAACTCGAACTGGAACCGCTGGCTGCAGTCAGGACACGAGTGGTGGGACGAACCTGAGAGGAAGAAAAAAAAAACAAGATGAGTATCCGAGCTGTGGCGTTAAAAACACTCTAATGCTGCACAGTCATGAGCTTTAAATCTAAATCAGACGTTTTCACAGACGATCATTCATCCCGTCTTCACAAAACAAGAGTTCACAAAACAAGAGTTCAAACAAGATAAAGAACTTCTTGTGGCTGTGGAGTGAAATCGAGCGAGCTCACCTTTGCTCTTGGCGGGCGCTCGGCTGGCGCTGAGCAGCAGCAGGTCGATCAGGTCTTTGCCGTACCACACCAGCAGCTCCTCGTCCTTCTCGATGCGCCGCAGCGAGCGATAGAAGAGCTGGCCGTTCTTCACGTAGGCCTCCAGGTTCTGCTCCTCTTTGTCCCGGGCCGACTGCACCAGCCGCAGCCACATCAGACCCTCCGAGGTGCTGTTAGCCGCCGACGTGTCCACCTGTGCAAAACACAAACACACACACGTTCAAATATGAATACAGAAAAGACTCTGAACACGGACGTGCATTCACAGCCGCCAGTGAAGTGTTTGATTTTGGTTTTATGGACTATTTTTTATATTCTCAGCTTCCTGTTGTTATTTGCATATTTGCTTAATTTTCAAACTAATCAACACCAAATGCATCGAGGCCTCTCACTGAGAGCGGCCATGTTTCTCTTTCAGACGCCGTAAACTCAGAGGAGCCTTTGTGTGTTTGTCTGTTTCTTTTGGGATTTTGTTCATTTGTGTAAACTGAAGTGAAAAAATAATATATTTATTTACATAAAAGCTGACATCTTAAAATAAACTGCAAAATGCATTTCACTTTTACTCCAAATTAAAATCAAACATTCTGAAATAAATAGATTTTCTCTGCATCAAGATGATCTCAAATACACGAGCAGACTCTTCACCTCATGCAGGAATGATTAAATTCAAGATTGAAGATTGAAGATTTATATTTTTTTATCACATGCTCATGCAGATGTGCAGTGAAATGTAAAGACTGTTCCGCAAGGCCATACAATAAACACTCAAATTACTAACACAAAATATAAATAAAAGTGTCATTGCAACATTTTGGGTTGAACGACTTTAAGAGACATTTCTTTGCATTCTGATTTTTTTAATTGAAGGACTGCACTGATCTCTAGTTGTTCTAATATTAAAGCATTTGAGTATTTCCAGGTCACAGCTTCTTGCTCAAGTGCTGCTGTGCGAAATAAAACTGATCTGAATCTGCAATATTTGAGCTGCACAGGTGGAAGAATAAGATGGATTCTGATCGACCTGTGAGAGTCAAACAGTAGAATTAATCAAATATAAATAATGACTAAATGAAAACACTCAGCAGTGAGAATGAGAGGGTGAAGACTGACCCTGAAGATGTAGGGAGCGGTGCGTTTGTCGGTGGATTTGAGGGCGATGAAGGCGATGCTGTCGTACAGCGACGTGTGGCTCAGCACGCACGGGCCGAAGATGGCGTTCTCCGGGATGTCACACGTCGTGTACACACTCGTGAAGATGTCCGTGAGACACTGCTGCACCGCTTTGGCGTCCCCATCCCACACCAACTTCTGAGAGCTGGACTCCTCCATGTCTGTCTGCAGAGAGGACACGAAGAAGAAGAAGAAGACGTCACAGGTCGGAAATAATTACACAATGATATTGTTTTCTGTGCGGCCCTTAAAGTTTCTCACGCAGGCTCATAAAAATATGTGTACACCGGAACAGCTGCTTTCCTACATGACAAAATTAATGCTTTTATTTTGACAATTCTCCATTTTTCCTACACGAGACATAATCGGTGTGTTTGAACGTGAGAGCGTCGTTTGGTCCCAGCTGAGAGGAAATAAATCTCTTCCTCGACAGATTGGAGGAAGCAGCTGTCAGGGGGGCCGTTTGGGGGCCCTTTCCTTTTTCTTTTTCCGTTTTTTTTTTTTTTTATTGGCCAGCTTTCTAATTAATTCAAACCCGTTAATAAGTTGATAAAGGTCCGTGAACGCATCACCTGCAGCATCCTGATCCGGGGGTTTCAGATGTGTGTTTTTATAATTATTATGCCACAATTTAAAAAAAAAGCCTAAAATATATAACCATAAAAATCAAAATAACCACATTATTGGACTTATTATTTTACAGAAGGCTCCTAATTATTATAACATTATTATTATCATATTTTATGAATGACGTAATCATCGTCGTGAGGTGTTTTTTCTTAGATTAAATCAAATATATGATGAATTGCATTCAAATCAAAGCCTCTATTCAAATGATTTCAGAGGACCAGTGGACGTCTGTATTTATTATTATTATTATATTAGCATTAATATAAATATCATTAGTGTAATTATTAATAATCTTAAATCATCAGCAGGCCTCAGAGAGCTCTCTCTCTGTGTTTGTCTGTTCAGCTTTAATTGTTCTAAATCGCTTCATTTAAAATAACAATTCTTATTATTCAGTTTATTTGTAATACAATTAATTCTTTAGGTCACTTAAAGCTTTAATTTGTGTCATGGTTTGTTTTCATTCTCCTCTTTATCCCTCACGTGTTTATTTTTATTTTTTTGCCTGTCACATTTTTATTAATCAAAAATCAGATGAAACACTTTGAATAAAGAACCTGTGTGTGAGAGGATGTGCGGGTCGGTGCGTGTTTTGCGTCGGCCTGTCAGAGTCAGCAGACCTCTCTCTCTCTCTCTCTCTCTCTCTCTCTCTCTCTCTCTCTCATTATCATAATCCAGCACGTTCCCCTCTGAGACTGTAATTAAAACAGCACGAGCACTTAATTATTTCCTTTCTGCCTTTTTCTAACCTCTCGATGATGTGTGTGTCTGTGTGTGTGTGTTTGTGTGTGTTTGTGTGTGTGTGTGTGTGTGTGTGTGTGTGTGTGTGTGTGTGTGTGTGTGCGTGCGTGTGTGTGTGTGCTCTTTACTCTCTAAATACACACAAACCTGCTGCGTCTCATACACACGCTCACACTGGACGGTTGAATCAAAATATTTTTTTTAAAAGCAGAAGAAATAAAAATGAAGAGCTCAAAAACTAAAATAATGTCTTTAAATGTGAGCAGACGGAGTCCTCTAGAAAACAGTCTATTAAATAAATCTATTTCCTACATATTCATTTCTTATTTTTCGGCCAATCAGAGTAAAAATTAAATTTATTATCTTATCTGTGCCATGCTGCAAAGAGTGACGCGTCTCCCTGAGCGGCACAGACAAGAATATATGAGAACATTATTTTATAGATAAAAGAAAACAGAATTATTAGATAATAAATCTGTCTTTAAATGGAATGAAATGAAACGGAAGTGGAAATAAAAATGAGATAAATGGATGAAAAAATACCCAAATAATAATCATAACAATAATAAGAGCCAGATGATTAAATATGTTTGATATTTAACACATCCAGAGATAATTATTATCACTGTTTTATGTGTTATTTAAATCACTGTCAGACTTTTTTTGCGTTACATTTTTCCTCTTAACAATTAAGAACGGGAAAAAATAGATGAATTAAATCCGGCGCTGCAGAGGAAGGTTTCTCCTCATTTCTGTCCCTGTGTCCTCGGTTTGATTCGGACAGCTGCAGGAGAAACGCGCTCTCTTTTCTGACTGACTTTTTAAATAAAAGAGGAAAAATCTGATTAAATAACCAAACCCGGGTTATTCTCTATCAGCGTATTTAATAATAATAATAAATAATCCCGTTGATTCCATAAGAGGCTCAAAGGCCACAGAGAGGTTCTCTCTCTCTCTCTCTCTCTCTCTCTCTCTCTCTCTCTCTGAGCGCACGGCGCGGTGCGGTGCGGTGCGAGCGCGTTAGTGAGGTGTTTTAAACGTTTCCGGTACCGAGAAGAAGCCGTTAGTGTCCAGAGGATGAGGAGAATATTCCAGAGATAAATTACGATCACGTCCGATGTGAGGAATAAAAACACAAAGAGCGGATTGTTTGCACATCCGGAAAGTGGAGAGAATCTGCAGCCGCGCCGCACGGACCGGCTGCGGGCGGGCGGGGTTGGGGTTTGGGGTTGGGGGTGAGCCGAGGGGGGGGGGGGGGGTGTTAACCCATCTGTTAAAGCCGTGCCAGTCTGAAAAGTGTCCTAAATCAACGCGAGGGCTGAGCTGCGGGTTTTGTCAAACATCTGTGTGCGGGTTTCTCTTTTTATTTCAGCGCTTGCAGGATGCATTTAAAAAAACAACAAAAACAACAGAACCTGACACCGTTCCTAAACTATCCACATACACACACACACACACACACACACACACACACACACAGATGCACACACAGCTCTGCAGATCACCTACCTCTGTAAGGACGAGCAGGAACAATAATCCACAATTTAGCGCAAGCGATGCTGTGAATGAAAAACCCGGGGGTAAAAAAAAAAAAAGACCCCGAGAAGCTGCGAGAGGAGCCGGTGATGATGATGGAGGAGGAGGAGGTGATGGAGAGGATGAAGAGGGTTGCTCTGCTCCCGGTCCGGTCCGGTCCTTGTTGTCAGTCAGTACATCCCCCCACCCGGTGCGGTGAAAGTGACGGTGCTGCTGCAGGAAGCCGCGGACAGCGTTAAACCGGGCTGCACGGATACACACAGGCAGAGAGAGAGAGAGAGAGGGAGAGAGAGAGGCGCGGCGCAGATGGGGCCCGGTGCTCTGGCTGACTGACACACCGACACACACTTTTTGTTTGCGGCACATAATCTACCCAATGAGGCGTGTCACTCCGCGTCTCCTCCCTTTAACTCTTCACTCACCGACTGTCAACTGAAGCGATTTATGGACGAGCTCAGGGATAAAGACCTCCCCCGCCCCCCCCCCCCTCCCATTATTATTATAATTCTAATCACAATAGTTGGTGGCTGTGTCAGAATAAAGTGGCTTTTAAGGAGTCAAATGTTGGATAAAGTAGCTTCTTCAGCTGTAAGAGAGGACACACACACACACACACACACACACACACACACCGTATTCATCTAATCAGGATCAATGTTTGTTTTTAATTATTTTATGCCTAAATTCTTCTCAGAGCTTCAGATAAAATGTAGTCAGAGCCTCCTCTGACACTCTGGGATTATTTCAATGTATGCAAATCAAACGGACTCCTTCTCAGACTCTGTTTGAACAGTTTGCTTGAAGCTCCGGGACACCGTGCAGGCCTGCTCCCTCACCCGGCCCGAGCAGCTTCTCATCCCGGGTACTCTCACTGAGGAGCTCCGCTGCTGTTTGCAGTGCGCGCATGCGCAGATAGGGGGCGCCAGTGTATAATGTGCACAGTGAGTGAGCGGATGATGGAGTGATGGAGAGCTGATGATGGGAGGCCTCTCTGCACACTGACATGTTGTTATGAGGTTTAATTCTTCCTTTCTTAAATATTTAAATTTAATTCATGCACTTTGATCACACGTGAGGATTTCATGATTCAAGATCAATTTAGTGTTCACAATAAAATGAACATTTTAGGATCTTGTGGATTTAATGACCTCAAATATCAAATCATTGTTTTCATGTTTGTATTTATTTTAATGTAATTGTTTGGAGGAATAACTGAGCGTCCTTTACGTCGACATGTTCAGAAAAAGAGAACTCTGCTTCCACACATTTTCCCTCCTCAGCGTCGCTCTGATGAAGATTTCTCGTGTTCCTGCTCGTGTGCATCTCGAGTAGGATTTCTAAAAAAAAAGTGTCAAATTCTGTTTGAAACTTCCAGAAATGTCAAACATAATTGCAGTAATTTATTCTGTTGTTTAGAAATACTTCAGAGTGTCCGTAAATGATCCGTTTATCTGTGAATTCTGAGAAACAAAAGAGGAATGTGTTGAAGAGAAGGATTAGGTTTCCGCCTCGGGACGTTATTGAGGAGCAGAGAAGTCAGAAGATGAAGACGAGGAGCAGCGAGGAAGAAACCCGAGACGAGGGAATCACACATCAGCTGATCTTTAGTTTCTTGATTGTCTTTGTGCGTCGCTCACATCTGACTGGAGAATGTGTTGATTTATTTATTGATTTAGGACGCTGCACATTAATCAACAGAGCAGCTCTTTGTAAATATGCACAAAGATAAAAATCATCTGAAGTCCTCAAAGGCAGGTATGAAAAAAAAACACAAACAAAATGTAAAAAAAGAGCTCACACACAACATGGACACAAACCTCACTTCACTCAAACAGCAGCAGGAAACAGGAAGTGAAGCATGCTCTCAGGTCCTCGTCCAATCATTCCCTCCCTTCATTTGAATTATTTTAATATCAAAGAGCACGCCATAACAATCTGAGATATTTAAGATCATAAAGATGATGAGACAGACTGCAGGGCGGAGGGAGATCTAGATCCAGATTCTTTTTGTCCCACACGGGGGAAACGTGTTTTACAGCAGAAGACGACGAACACGACGACAACATCGCCGTAAAACAGAAAACAAAACGGATTTCAAAATTCAGACGACACAAAAAAATATAAAACCAAATAAAACAACACAGATAAAATCAGTGAAGAGCTCGGGCCTGGATGTGAACTCCAGCCGAGTCTTCAAAGTGCAGAGTGGAGGTGTGCAGACAGAGCGACCTCCGGGCTGACCTGAGGGTCAAAGGTCACACTCACTGTGAGTACTCTCCTCAGGACCTGCTGGTTAAAGTCCGTCAGGAAGTAAAGACTCTGTAGTCTGGACTCCAGGAGCCCAGTCTGACCCCCTGACCCCCCCACGCTCCCTGAGGTGCTGCTGCTCTGATTGGTCAGTTCAGGCTTCCGTACCACGCAGCGATACAAACAACAGATTCAGTAAAACTTCTGAAACATTCAGATGTTTCATGTTTGTTTGAAAGATCAGTCTTGAGTGAGTTTAAAAACATAAAAACATAAACTGGTTCCATTAAAAATGTTTTTTGGGGCTGCAGACTTTAAACCAGAACCCGCTCTAACTGTCACAGAGGTGTCACAGGTTACAGAACTGGACCGGACTTTAGATCCCCAATCTACCAAGAGGATTTCTATTGTACCACATGTAGCATCCTGCTGGACTGGAACCAGCAGAGACCTCCAACATCCAAACTAATTCTTCATGACACTTCACTCCTGGAGCAGCGCACTTACAGCTTGAGATTGAAAGGAGACATCGTCATGACAACATGGAAGCCTTTCATGGACCTACACACTCTGCAGAGCATGATGTGCTTTGACATTTATTTTATATTTATTTGGCTGTTTATATTATTTATTTTTTGTCTTTATTTTATTTTCCATATTCCTGTTTATATTATTAAATCCTTTATATTTGATATTTCTGTCTGTTAAATGTAAAATGTAAAAAAAAACAAAAAAACAATAAAGAATAAAATGAAAATAAAAAACACCACCTAAAGAACAACACCCAGAGATCAGGATGGGGGGTCGGTCTTAAACTCAGGGAGGGGTTGAGACTCTCTGAGACCTTTAGAACAAAGAAATGAATCTAAAATTATATTTTAATTTGTGTATTTTAAATTTACATTTACTTTTTCTCTGATGGAAGAAAAACAAATCAGATTTCACCGTGAGGTAAAATTCCTGCAAAGTGAAACTAAGATTCTAAAAGAGGTCAGACATGTTTTAATTCACAAGATAATAAATCTACGGTGGCTGGGAAGGGCAAACCAAAACAACAAAGTGTGAAACACTTTTACAAAGCTTCAGACAAATTTACATGTTGGTGATACATTTCTACATTTTATAAAACAGAATTACAAAAACAAAACAAATCCACATTTTATAAAACAAATGTACAAAATGAGAAACACTTTGAGGAGCGGAGAGACAAATTTACAAACCTCAGAATCTCAGTAGAATTTATCAAATACTGAAGTGACTGTTTATTGGAACCCAACGGAGAAAGTTAACTCATAGTCTTTCTGTCAAATCAAACACTCTCTCACTTTCAGTATTTTATATTTGTAAATTTGTCTCTCTGCTCCTCAAAGTGTTTCTCATTCTGTTAATTTGTTTTCTTTTTGTATTTCTGTTTTATATATAAAAATGTTTCTCCAAAATGTAAATTTGTCTGAAGTTTTGAGTGTGTTTCACACGTTGTCATTTTGGTTTGCCCTTCCCAGCCACCGTCTGAATCACATTAAAATCTTTGTTTTATTATGATTCTGATTTTATAAATTAAATCTTTTATTCACTGGAGTCTAAAGATGACCCCGCCTTCATTTGGGACACGACACACCCTTTAATTATTTTCAAACTGAACTCAGTCTCAGCAGAGACGAGAGAGATGATAGAGATTTACTTTTACACCAGAGAGAACATTTCACTACAAAGTCAGTCGTGTTAGTCTGAACGAGCAGCTTCACTCGGCTGATAAAAGGGACGAGGCCTGAAATCAGGAAAAGCTTTTATTTTGAAGTTTTACGGTGAATAATTATAAAGATGTTTGTGATTCGCTGAAGATTATAAAAATGTTTTTTACGCTGAAAGAAAATAAAAAAGATGATTTTAAATTATGGAACAGGATGGATCTGTGTGTGTGTGTGTGTGTGTGTGTGTGTGCGTGTGTGTGTGTGTGTGTATGTGTGTGTGTGTGTGTGTGCGTGTGTGTGTGTATGTGTGTGTGTGTGTGTGTGTGCGTGTGTGTGTGTGTGTATGTGTGCGTGTGTCTGTGTGTGTGTGTGTGTGTGTGTGTGCGTGTGTATGTGTGTCTATGTGTGTGTGTGTGTGTGTGTCTGTGTGTGTGTGTGCGTGTGTCTGTGTGTGTGTGTGTATGTGTGTGTGCGTGTGTATGTGTGTCTATGTGTGTGTGTGTGTATGTGTGTGTGTGTGTGTGTGTGCGTGTGTGTCTGTGTGTGTGTGTGTGCGTGTGTCTGTGTGTGTGTGTGTGTGTGTGTGTGCGTGTGTATGTGTGTCTATGTGTGTGTGTGTGTGTGTGTGTGTGTGTGTGTGTGTGTGTGTTTGAATTTTCTGACCGCTGTATTGTTTCTCTTTCTGCCTCGTTCCCTTTTTTGGTAGTGAGGTCAGATGGGGGGGAGAAGACCCTGTCCCCCCTGGAGCCGTGGTCAGTCCTGCAGGGGGGGGGGGACTTCAAGACTTTAGAAGGAGGTGTTGAATGAACAGATTCTAAAATAAGGAAAAGCCAGAACAGAGATTTTTAATAAACCGAGATTCAGAAGCATCGAGGGAACGTTGTTTTACTGTGAAAGGAATCGAGGAACTAAAGAATCCAAATCAAACATGATATTTAAAAAAAGAAATGAAAGACGGTTTGTTGAGTAAATATGTTAAAGAGAGAGGACCTTTAATTTCATTTATTTTATTTTGTGTTTTGGGAACACAAAACATTAATGTCTAAAGAAAGAGAGAGAGGGAGATTCTTTCTGCTGCTTTTCATCACAGATCTGAGATTTTATGTTTGTATTTCATTGTTTTGTTGAAATCTAAAAACAGCCTGGCCCCGCCCCCTTACTGATCTGCCACTCCCCCCCGACCTGCCGCGCTTCAGCTCCCTGATCCAAACCCACCGCTGCAGGGCGGCTTTAATCACTCACGCTTCGTTCTGTGACTTTCAATGTTTTTGTTTCCTCCCTTCCTTCTGGCCTTCCTTCCTTCCTTCCTTCCTTCCTTCCTGACTCTGTGTCTTTCTTTAACAAATAAAATGTTTTAATATTATTATTAGTGATGGTTTCCTGCAG